TAGAAAAGGGTCCCAAATTGGGGGATCGACTTTGCAGATCCTTCCGGGGTCTGGGTAGGTATAGTCCTAAACCCTAAACCCTAAACCCTAAACCCTAAACCTTAAGCTCAGGGGGCGCAGGCCGGTGGGCCCTATACGGTCGCCTTCTTCTCGGCCTGCTCTTCCAAGGCCTCTCTGTGAGGGTCAAGCAAGGGATGGCAGTCCCTGGGCCCCAGTGTCGGGGCCCCAATAGAAATAATTAGACTAGGGGTTCTATATGGGATCTATAGTAGGCTTCTTTCTATATTAGGGGCCTTAATCATTAGACTAGGGGTTCCTTTACATTGACCCTTAAAGTCTTCTATAAGGGATGTATAGTAGACTTCTATATTAGGGGCCCTGATAATTAGACTAGGGGTTCCTTTACCATCTTTCGTTACGGGCCTAGAACTCAAGGCGAAGGTTCGAAGATGTATGTACGGTAGAACCTTGGTTGATATAGGGGCCTTAATAATTAGACTAGGGGTTCCTTTACAGGCATCCTTAAAGGGTTCTATAAGGGATCTATAGTAGACTAGGGGAAATAATTAGACTAGGGGTTCTATATGGGATCTATAGTAGGCTTCTATATTAGGGGCCATAATAATCAGACTAGGGTCCTTAATGCAAAAATAGGGTTTTGAGATATGTTATACTTTAGATATAACAAGGAACCCCCAAAAAGGATAGGTACTTATTACGGCCCCTATACTAGGATCCAAACACATCGGAAGCAGGAGAGGGCGTATCGGGGCTTTAACGGGCTTTGTAGGATTTGAACGAAAGACCCTACTAGGTAGAATAGGGTCTTGGGGCTTATGCATCATGCCTACAAAAGAAGTACAAGGAGACGTCATTACCAATCGTTCAAACCCCGATATTTTTCGCTTAATGATTTTGGGGTGTAGGGTTGGGTTCCGAAAAAACCTATACTCCGACTTATGTTCGGACCCTTCGTTTGTAGGTTCACCATAAGCCCCTAAAAACCAAATCTCTACACACTCCAAACCCTGTACCCTAAATCTCTAAACCCCAAGACCCCTGAACCCTAAACGCTATACCCTTAATCTGTGAACGGCTAAAGCCCCAAACATATAGTAAACTCTGATCTAATAAGACTCTGGTAACCCCAAACCCTAAGCCCATGAGATAGTAAGAGACTCTAAACCCACGATTGAATAAGAAACCCTAAACCCATGATAGAATACGAAATCTTAAGCCCATGATAGAATGAGAAACCCTAGATCCATGATAGAATAATAAATCCTAAGCCCATGATAGAATAAGACTCCCATAGAATTCTGGTATAGTATAGGCTGGAACGTTTAGGGCTTTAGGGTTAGGGATTAGGGTGCTGTAGTTGCATTACCTACCTCGACATCCTCATCGCTGGTGCAGAGACATCGACAAAAGGGAGTCATCGCGTGCAGACTCGACGTCTATAACTGTTGTTGAGGAATCATGTTCAGTGGACTCGCAATTCAATTTCCAACCTTGCCTGCCAAATCTAGCAATTTCAACATATGCTGGTCAAGCCTGCGCGCGGACCTGAAGAATCTCTAGTCTTAACCTAGGGGGCAGTGGGAGAGGCTTGTATTCCCTTGAGTACCAGTATCCCCTTAAGTGAGTAAGCCTCTGGTGCATCGTCGGCACCGGCGCCGTTGTTTTTCTTTCTTTTCGGCACTGCCCTTGGCTGCGGCTGTCGCTTAGACGCCGCTCGGTTTTGGCTTTCGGTTGAGGGCTTTAGGCTTCAAGGGCTTTCCAGGGTTTTCGAGCCTTATACAGTTTTTCAAGGTTTTACTTGGAGGTTCATGGGTAGTTATAAGTGGGTTTATAAGTCCCCTAATATGGGTTATAACCTCGTAGAATTACAGGGCACTCACTTTTGCTTTACAAGCCTTAACGGCGTCCGAAGTCAGCACGACATGCCATGATTCACACTCCCCCTTTGACTTGTAGTCAAACTGTACTGGAGCGAATCGGCATCCCAAAAAAGCATGAGCAGCTCCACTGCTCCATGAAGCTGTATGGGCTTCATGTAGACTCAAGGCTTCTTTCCACAACACAAGGTGTTCATCACGTCTTCTTGAGACGCAGCTCCGTGCGTCCTTTCCACTCTTTGTTGGCCAGCAATTGCGCTGGCTTGCTAAGTCGCGTGAAATCATCCACATGGACCAATATCTGGCCCGAACTCAAGCGTCCGAGGGTTCGCCGCTCTCCGGTAAATCTGTTCAGCGGCGGGCCTCCTGCTGCTTGTCCTGGAACGAAAAGGTTCAACCTCGCCGTGGGATGGTAGCGAATTGCTACACCGCGGCGCTCATCGATCTCCCAGTAGTCACGCTTGCCACTGGGCATCACAAAGTCGTTCGTTGTGGTGGGGAACCAATCATCATGTAGAGGTTCCGGAATCGGAGGTGTAGGAGGCCTCCTCTCTCCGGTGATGCGACTTGTCCTCCCGCGCAGCCCCGCAGTTTCCAAAGAGGAGTCGCGAAGTGAGTCTGAGCTGACGGGATCCACCGCCCCAGGGCGAATCGACCTATCAGGCTCCTCTACTCCCCGACTCACCCCCGTACTCCTGCAGCACTGCTTGATGTAGTCAAGAACTGCTTTCAAGGACTCCCAAACAGCAATGACCGCAACCAGGCACATGCCGAGGAACATGTAATCGAAGGGCTCCTGGGTCTCGTTCTCGGCTGCCTCCCCTCGCTCCACCACAGAAGCTAAACATAGCAAAATGATCAACTTCTTTGCCTGGGTCGCATTGACGGCGGTGGCACCTGGGCTGTAGCGCTTCCTTGTGACCCTCATTCTGTCAACAAGGAAACCAAAGCGATCGGCAGGCAGGGATTTGGTTCCCAGGTCGGCGAGCATAATGCGACCCTCAACATGAAACGCCATCCAATCTGGTAGCTCGAGGAGTTCTCGGATCATGTTTCCCCTGATCCTCAAGTGCCTGGTGCGCCAGCTGCCTGCAGCGCAACGACATACTGCTAACGCCGCCTGGCTGTCCGAACAGATAGCCTTGATCACTTCCGAAGCACGGTCCTTCGAGGAAAGCATGATCTCGGCCACCAGCTGCTCCACAGACTTCACACAGGTAGTAAGCTCACAAATCGCCACCAGTTCACTTTCTGCTGTAGACATGGTGACGAAGGCCTGCCGGCTACTTGTCCAAGCCACCAAACCACCCAGGACGAACACCATGATTGCCTGCTGGCTTCGGCCTGAGTTCGGAGCAAAGCTGGCATCGCAGAAGCCTTCAATCACAACTCCCGGAGAGGACACCTGGGCATCGGGAGTGAGGTAGGGCTTGGAGGCATAGAAGATTCCTCCCTCCGGATATCGCTTGAGGTACTTGATCAAGTGCCCCCCTCTGTAGACTGCCTCCTTCGGTCGTTTGCTGATGGCCTGCGACAACAAATTCACCGCATACAGGATCTCCGGCCTGCAGCGCCCAGCCAACCACTGTAACTCACCCGCCATGGTCTGAGCGGTCCGGACAAAGTCCGCGGCATTCTCCCCTTCAACGAGGTCAAAGTCCTCGGAGTTCAACACCGTCGGCGCCGGGACCTCCTCGTAGCCTTCCAGGTCCTTGTACCTGGCCAAGAGATCCTTCGTGTAGCTATCCTGGCGAAGGGTGAGGCCTTGCTTGGAAGAGGAAATCTCAAACCCGTTGAAGGCCACATTGTCCCATTGTGGCTCAGTGCACTTCCACGTGCTCGCGATGACACGAGCTGCTTCCTTGGCCACCTCGGGCTCGCCAGCAATCAAGAGGTCGTCGACATAGCACAAGATAGCTCCCGCTCGACGGCCACCGACTTGAATGTACCACAAACTCCCATCGATCTCCGAGGGCACGAGCCGAACCTCTCCTTCCGAAGTGGCTCCCTTCATCTGGGCCATGGTCTTGTTGCGGTACACTTCCCAAGAGCGAGGCGAGGTAACCATTCCATACAGCGCGCGCTTCACGCGCCAAATGGTTTCCTTACACACACCACCCATCAAGAACATCTTCGGCACCTGCACCAAGGTAGGACGATCCTCTTGAAACAGAAGTGGAGCCAGTAGGAAGGCTGTGCGCACGTCCATTACACACACACTCCATGCCATCATCGCCACCATACGCAACAGGATCCTGGTAAGAACCCCATCCGCCCCGGCCGCATACTTCTGATCCTTCGAGAAGCTCTGACCTAGAAAGTTCCCACAGAGGACAGCCCGAGTTTTGAGCCGGCCAGTGAACGCCTTGACGGTGTGCACGGTCTTCCCAGGCACGAGGTCAAACTCCTTGCCTTCCTGCTTCCACTGCTCCAACTTCTCCTCCGGGAAGGGCTCCACAGCTTCATTCTCCCGGATCAAGCTCTCGTACTCGGACAGCATGCTGGGCACCCATCGATCCAACTCTTTCCTCACCACCTCGTTGGGGATAGTCTTCGTATGCAGCGGTGCCTCGTTGCCACCCTCGACGAGCTCAGCCACACACACTTTATCCTCCTCCAAACCTTCCTCCTTCTGCCAGAGCTCCATCTCGGCCTCCAAAGCTTCCCGGCTGGCAACCCAGCGCTTCACTTGACAAGCCGCCAAGCTGCCATGATCCTGATCCTCCGTAAGAGCTCGCTCCCAGTTCTCTTCCTCCACCAGAAGACAGCGAACCTCATCCAAATAGCCCTCGAAGAGATCCCAACCTACCTCCAACGGGGCCTCCGAAGCCACAATCTCATACGACACTTCGGCCTCAGACGACAATGGCTTCAGCGTAGCAACGGCTGGAGGACCAAAGGCACCCCACGACTCCTGAAGCCATGGGTCTTCCGAGCACTCCTCGCTCTCGTCATCCCCAATGTAGAACTGGGCAACACCACCACCAGTCTCTTCACCAGGTAGACGACAAAGACATAGCGAGGGATCTACTTCCCATCCTTTGCATCTACAACGACCCCCACCAGCAACGTCATCACGAGATTCCGAATTCAGGTTCTCCCCCGGTCCCTGACATCCATTTGACAAAGGACCCCCACCAGCAACGTCATCACGAGATTCCGAGTTCAGGTTCTCCCCCGGTCCCTGACATCCAGACAAAAAACGCAACGCCTCATGACCTCCACCACCACTCTCTCCTCCTTCTGGCGACAAAGCCGGAACTCCGGGTGGGGGTAGCGGGAAACCAAAATCTTGTAGTAGATCACGATGTTGCTTGCTGCAATTGTCTGGACAGCCGACCGTGTAAGCTGTCAAGGTGATGCGATTGCCGTGCCATGGGAGGGGCTGATGGAGTTGACATGGGTCGAAAACAACAGCTTTGTGGTAAGTGGCGTGGCGATGTCCCGGAAGCCACTTGCCGTTGACCTTGTGCCAGCTCACATTCTCCCTCACATCACCCATTGGATGGTGGCACCACAGTCCTCCTCCAACATAGTTGCCAAATCCAATAAGCGCTGCGGTCTCACCAGCCTTGTTGTTCTGATCCTTATGGCACTGCATCGGGGTGTTGAAGTTGATAGACAACGTGGTGAATGTAGTATCGGGGCCCACATGCTCCTTTACCACCGCCACGAGGAACCTGGTCAAAAAGGGCCGTGTCCGCGCCAAGGTAGTCGCTCCAACCACTCCTCCGTGGCGAAACATCCCAAGCACATGCACCGACACTTGAGACGCCCCATCAAACACTTCCGCACGACGACTAGGAACAAAGTGCTCGCTGAGCCACAAGCTTTCCAGCAGCTCTTCTGCCGCCGACATAGAGTAGTCGCCCGCCTCCAGGAAGATCGCCGCCAGCTCCTCATCCTGAATGAGGTGCTCATCTTCTAGCTGCTCACACTTCAGAGCTTGTTCTTCCCTATCCAACTCTGCCCTTGCAACGGCCACCTTCCCTCGTAGCCTCCTCCGGACCCCAGGTTCATCAGCACGTGCAGGAGGAGCATCCACCACGAACTCGCCCGAGACCTCCTTGACGTTTTCAACAGCCGCCATGGTGGTCAGGTAGCTGCCCTCTTCCGTGCGAACCAGGAAGCCCCTCGCCACATCCATAGAAGGACACAACATCCTTGCTGCAACCACCTTCTCTACGAACTCCTCCTTTTTGAGCTTCCACGACCGCTGCTTCACAAACACCTTCGTTCCGAAAGGAGGTAGTCGAGGCAGGCGTCCCCCAAGCTGAGTCACCACGTGGTACTGGATCCGAGACACATAGTGACGCATCGCAAACCCCCACATATCCACACCCAAGCCCGAGGCCGACAGGTAGGTCCGAACGGCGTTCTTGGCTCTTCCCACCAAAGCTTCCACACGGCCGTTGGCTCGGTAGTCGTCGCCCGGCGTAGTAGTCCGGACGATACCTCGATCTCGACATAGAGCCCGAAAGCTCTTGTTGATGAACTCTCGGCCTCGATCAGAGTGTATGCGCTGTACCACCAGTCCAAGCTTCTTCACTTGGACCAGGATGTCCTTTGCAGCGGCCAGCACCTCGGCTGAGGACTTGGATCCCACAGTCACCACAAAGGGAACCTCCACGCAGGACACGCCGTCGAGCTTGTCTTTCTCCACCCGAGCCTTCCACCGCTCCAATTCGCGACGACTTCGCTCCTCTTCCACCGCAGAGGCCTCCTCGTCATCATCCTCGGCTGGTCCTTCCTCACAGATGGGATCATCATCCTCTAGAGGCCCAACCCCTCCTCCATCATCCCCACCA